GATTGAACCTGACAGGATGTTCTTCGAAGTCAACAGGGTCCACGTCATCACTGTGACTCGTGCTTTTGAAATATGCTGGTGTTGGTGGGACTGAGTCGATCTTAATCGAATAGGTTCGAATTCGATTTGATTTAGAGTGTGGGTTAATGTATTCCTCGACATCATAATGGGGTCTCGTTTTAGAGTCTGGGTTAATGAGACAGTTAATGGGGGTTCTCGTTTTGCAGGAGAGACGTTAGGGCTTAGGTCCAAAGTGTGCCGTGGCATTAAATGTCAGTGATGTCATCGCAGCCTTGAGATTCAAAAAGAGACTGGCTATTTATTGCTGCTAGTTTCGTCAGCCTGCCTGGTATCCATCTCTAAGTAATTGTAAGCTGCAAACGATAATTGCTCCAGAAAATCCTTCTGCCAAACAATGAATCGACTCTGCGAGCCATTCTGTGCAGTTTTCAGGTGCTTTTGGCAGAAAAAAAGTCATCTGCCAGAGACAAATACCCTCCCGGCAGAAAAAAAACACCTCCCGGCAGAAAAAAACACCTCCCGGCAGAAAAAGCCATGCCGGCTTTCGGAACTGCAGAGTTCGAGGGCTTCTGCAGAGTGCACGCCAGCCTGCTTCAGGAAAAAAAGTGTTTCTGCGGACTCAAAAAGGGCGTTTCTGCAGAGTTTTTCATTCCCAGTGAAAGGCATCTTGAGAGAATCCGTGGGTTGTTTCATAGTCTTCGCTGGAATCTGACGAATCATTCAACAGACTAACTTCTTGCTTTCTCCCCTCAATGAAGGCAACCAACTGATCGTCTCCTTCCGAACCAGACGATTCTTCCTCGGAAGACTCCTCTCTGCGGCGTCCGGCAGCCTCTTCCTCCTCTCGCTTGAAGTGGGCTCGAATTTTCTTGGTGGTGGTGTCGGTGTCGTCATCATCTTCATCCTCCGTCGAAGCCTCCGTCAAGTCAAGGGCGTTGCCAGCCGTGTCCCCACGATCATCCGCAGTCAAGGGCGCACGAGCCTCGGGGACCGATCTCGACGAGCAAAGAGTTTCTGTAGCCACGGCGGATGGTGACTTCAATCTCATTGCCGGTTGCTTCATCGATGGCAGTGGTGCTGAAGTCATCCTTAAGGGCGAAGGGAAGATTATTGAAGGTAAGACGCATGGTTGTTGTTGTTGTTGTTGTTGTTGTTTGTTGTTGTTGTTGTTGTTGTTGTTTGTTGTTGTTTGTTGTTTTTGTTGTTGTTGTGTTGTTGTGTGTTGTTGTTGTTGTTGTTGTTGTTGTTGTTTGTTGTTGTTGTTGTTGTTGTTGTTGTTGTTGTTGTTGTTGTTGTTGTTGTTGTTGTTGTGTTGTTGTTGTTGTTTGTTGTGTTGTTGTTGTTGTTGTTGTAAACAACAACAACAACAACAGCTCCATTTGAGGTGGTTGTCCTCGCTCCGTCCTCACTCTATCCTCACTTGTACTGTTTTACTATACAGAATTCAGTCGCGGATGTCGGATTTTGGATTGTATCCTCACCTTCATCCTCAAAAAGTGAGCGACAACTACACAACAACCATGGCAGCTATATGAAAAGTGATGGTCTCTACTTGTAGGGTGTACTTAGTAGATTCATTGATACTATAGCAACAGCCATTGAAATAGTCCTACTTGCTGTGCTAGCAGGCTCTAAACTACCAAGGATTGTGTCCGCAAACTGCCACCGATCGTCTGCGGGGAAGTGGAAGGCACTAGTGCGGATTAGATTGGGCATGCGCAGCTAGAGCTCTTGGTTAGGGCGGGCCACTCAGTGTTGTCGAACAGAGAGCTGCCCGTGAATGCTGTTCGCATCACAGGCAACCTCAAGATGTGGTGAACCAAGATTGATTGTAGGTGGCAAAGATTCGATGATTACGGCATTGGTGGGTTGGGCACCACTCGGGCGCAACAGTTTGTTGATGTTAGAAAGATTGTAATGGTAATAGGAGCACAACCAACCCTCAGATGATCCAAAGTCGTGTTGATTGGTTTTGCAGGACAACCTGAGTCGTTCCATTTTTAGAGACTGGTCAGTCGTGTTGATTGGTTTTGCAGGACAACCTGAGTCGTTCCATTTTTAGAGACTGGTCGAACCAAGGACACACTCCAACAAGAATGCATTCCAAACAATCATGTCACATGACCTCTGTGTGCGGTACCGTACTGGTAACCATCACGAGCAATAACATCAACTGCACCTTGACCTGATTTCAAATCATCATCATATAGCACCACCAGTTGCAGAGGCAAGGTTTTGGATGGCATACAATAGTAAAGATAGAATGAACTAGCTAAGTACGTGTAAGTTTACTCACAAACTGCCAAATCCAAATCGCATCCCATGTTGCTTGCCATCACAGCTCCATAATCTCAACAACCAAAAAGAATACGGTACGAAAAACCAGCCATTGGCCACTGCTTTGTGATCTTAGTGGGGGCCTCTTTTGTACTGTACTATTTAGTTCAATACCAACTTTGAATGAATGCCCAACCCAAGGCCAAAGTAAATGTATTCGAAGCTCCACTGCTCGAAACCAATACAGTTGCCATTGTTCCAAAGAGGAGTCCTCAGTCAACGACCGACCGGTCGACCAAGTGAGGGTTGATCTCATGCGTGACTGTATGTAATACTGAGTTCTACTAGTTTCATGCTATCATATATATATGCGGTGGGCGTCCAACCTCCACTTAAGACACAACTCCAACAGTACCTGGCTTGACGAAGAAACGTTGCATCTTACCCGAACAAGCCTTCCGCTCGTTCAGCGCGCGTTCGGAACAAACTTCTCCACACGCTGGTTACATGCAAAAGTTAGAATATCTCTTTTAGCTGTGAGCTGTGAACTGAGCGGTGGAGGTCAAGGTTCATTTTGGATCTTACGCTCCGACCCAAGTCATCAGAGCGACACATTGAGAGACCATCTTGCTCCAGCCAGATGCTGGTATCACTGCCCAAATGAGGTGACTATGGCTTGAATTCTGGCTTGTTTGAAGTGTTTTAATCTTCCCCGGATAGATATCTTGACATACCTCATAGGTAGAATCGTAGTGGTGGTTCAGGTTCAGAGAAATGAACTTTGCTCATGAACGGCTCTAACGGCTAACCTGCAACTCTTCGTGCGGCTCTGTCCGATGACAAGCACCCTGATCTCTGTCGTGGTACAAACTGTGTCTAGCTCGCTCTGCTGTTTTTAATATATTGTCAGACGCACAGCGATAACGGATCTTCCGCTTGAGACTGACTCCACGTGCAATGGCCAATGGCCACGAAGTCCCAAACTTTGTCTAATTTCTACCAATCGCCATCCAGCTACATAAGCATGCCCAGCACCAGCATCCCTGCCTTGCCGAATACCCCATCATGGTCTTCCATGACAGTTTTGTTTTTAGCATTCTCCTGCTGCAAGATTCTGTTGATGCCATCGTATCGATCGACTGATTTCGATGTGCATCGCAACTGGTTAGCCATTACCCGACACTTGCCCATCAAGGAATGGTACCATGATGATGTCAATGGGACCACCGTGCACACACTGGATTATCCCCCGTCCTTTGCCTATTGGGAATACCTACTGAGCAATAATCCCGTCACACAATACTTGATTCACGACGCTGAGTTGTTGGATGAACGATGTTTGCAGCTATTGCCCGATTCCGACAATACACCATCGGAAGCCTGTGTCATCTTTCACCGATCCACAGTCATTTGCAGTGACATGGTGTTATGGTGGGGTGCTTGGGTGATGGCCACTTCGTCATCAACACCATCACAAGTGTTATTCCTTGGACAATTTCCGGCAAGTTTCTTGTTGACCGTGTTTCATCCAGGGCTGTTGTGGTTGGATCATGTTCATTTTCAATACAATGGTATGCTTTTTGGAATATTTTTGGCATCATTGGGGTATTTGATGAAAGTCAACAATTCGTCTACTACAGAACGGGAGTTTCATAAACATCACTGGAAAGCAGCCGTTCTCTTTGCTCTTCTACTGACCATGAAGCATCTCTTTTTGACCTTGGGACCATTTTATTTTGTGTACTTGTTGCGACGATATTGTCTGGAACCACCGCCATCCAAGCAATCATCATCACAAAACACACCACAGAACTCGACCAAAACAATTCAACTGTACCCTCTGCACCTGATTACACTGAGCGTGTACACAGGGACAACCCTGCTCGTTCCATTTCTACCCTTTTTGAGACAAATGCCACAACTACTGAAACGGCTTTTTCCTTTTGGAAGGGGCCTGGTCCACGATTACTGGGCGGCAAATGTGTGGGCTCTTTACAGTTTTGTGGACAAGGTATCGGGCTTGGCCCATGGTCCATCACTACTGGATGTTCCGGCATCAGTCTGTGCCCTTTTGTTGCTGCTATCACTGCTCCCTGGTCTCTACTTTGGGGCCTGGAAGGCCGCCGAAGAACATGACAACATGAAACTCATTACAGCAGTTGTCTACTCGGCCTTGTGCTCGTTCATGCTGGGGTTTCATGTTCACGAAAAAGCAATCCTGAATGCCATTATCCCGCTCCTCTTTCTTGTCTGTAACAACAGCAAGAACACCGCATCACTCCGGGTATTGTGTTTTCAAATGACCTCCTTGGGGTTGCTGGGAATCTTTCCCCTGCTGTTTCGCCCCGCCGAATTGGCATTGAAACTGGTCAGTTACGCTGCCTACATGGCACTCTGCTATCATGTCTTGCTCGAACGCATGGACATGTCTCGACAACGGCTTGTGGTGGAGTTGCTTCCCCTTGTGGCCGTCGTGGTGGGACTTGTGATGCTGTTGGAGTTTGTGCCAATCCGGTTCTATGGGAAGCTCGAATTCCTTCCTCTCTTGTGCACTTCGGTGGGGTGCGCAGTGGGCTTGATTCTTTGCTGGATCCGACTATCGCTATGGATGGTTGGTGTAATCATAGGCTGAGGATCCCAATAATGACTGCAATCACCAAAGATAGAGAACATAATAGACTGTCATGACAAGTGTACCGATAGACGCTGCTGCGCCACCAACATTGGTTGAATCAATCCTGCTTGCACGGGGATTCTTGCTTCTCCTCTGGCTAGATAGTGAGGGCGGCTTCAGGACGGCATCGTCAAACATTCTTGCAATTTGCTGGTAGCCTCTTCGGGAGTAAGACTGGTGAATATTTGGACGTGATTAAAACACCAGAAATTTTCTCCCAGAATCTGCGGTGTATAGTCACCAACAGTTGTCTCTTTAGCCACCAGGAAAACTCCCAAGAATGGATTAGAACTGCCGATGACAAAATCAGTGGATCCACTGACTTCATCACCGAAATGATCAAATTGTGGTGCTCAATTGTTCGGGGCAAATGGATCAAGTATCCGTGACCTGGATGGAAAATTGGCGGGGGTCTGCAAGCTTGGACGTCTACAAATACCGCAAAAGTATATCGAAATCTACTTTATTAAGTAGTGCTCCTGGGGTGCTACGCATCCGGTCGGTAAATCCTGTTTTGCCAGCCTCCTGGATTGCTCGTCAGTGTCCAAATCGAACCTAACTTGGTTCTAGGAGAAGGTCTAGAGAAGTTTGTTGGACAAATCGTCTCTGATCAGCAGCTCACGCTCGATATGGGTGCCACAAGGACTGTTTATGCCTGCACTGGTCCCAACAACAATGTTCAGTCCACCTCTTCAAGATCCAACTCACAGAGCCCAGTTAATGGGATTCTCCGTCAAAACTGCCTCCTTGGAGATGCATCCTGGACCTTCCCAATGGGGCCGTTGCTGAGTTAACTGCCAATGTCGTTGTCGGTACATTGGATGTGGGTCGTCTCGCAGCCTCGACTGAAGTTGGAGAATGCACGTACACCGAAGAAATTTGCAGGATGCAAGAGACCCCAAGGCGCTACAGGCAACCGCAGGTGGATCGCTCCCCGATGCTTGCTGGGGCCTCGACTTTCTACCCGCTGGGGACAGTTTAGTTGGTTGAGGAGCTCGAAAAGCACTTGTGACCACTTTGAAAGCAGCGGCTGATACTATTGTTGCGTGTGAAGCATGGGATGCCGTCAAAACCCGGCATCTGCAATCGGCGGCCTCATTGCCGATGTTCTCGATCCCATTGGTGTGGCGTTGACACAGCTTCAGCTTCAGCGGTTGTCTCTTAGGGCTTCTACGCACTTGTTGTTTGATAGCTTATACAGATGGACCGGCAACGTTGCTCACGTATCATTGGAATTCAACTTTCTCTGTGCGTGGCTGTTTAGGTCGACATTCAGTTGGCAGCATTGCGGCTGATTCTCTAGAGCTCCTTCGCGACGCAAGCAGAGTTCCATCTTGACAGGTCGGAGGATGTCGTGGATCTTCCTGCCGGGATTTTTCGGGATGATCAGGCAACAGGTACGTGAAGGAAAGGCCCATAGTTCAGTACATCGGTCTACAGGGGTGAAACCATGCGGCATGTATCAGAATTTGACACCCTCACAAATCGTCATTTGTTCTCGCTCCGCTTGGAAGGCTTTCCGTTGTTTACTGCCGGTCCACACACAGCCCGCCCATGTTCATTGTTTTCTCAAGTTTCCTCGGCAATAGCTGTCGTTGCCAAAGAGCTCTACCCAGCAAACAAACAAAAAGTTGCGCTTCAAGGTGGCAAACATCGAGCTGAATCGAATCGGATCGAATCGAATCGAATCTATCGATCCATAGCCCGGGTGGCGTGCTGGTTCAAGTAGCTCAGGAGCTGTCTTTGGTTGCTGGACAATGGCGAACAACCCCTAAAATGGTTCATGATACAGTATACCGCTCACCACTGTGAGAAACCGCTCAGTATTTGAGCGCGAGGTCCTCCTCATCTTTCCCTCAACGATCCTCACCCGATGGTTCAAAATGACCGCTTCAGCTCTTCACGGGACAGTCATCCATCCATCTCCTTGGTTTGCCTCCTGGCGCCTTGGGTTGATACATCGAACACAGATGCTCGTATTTTATAGCCATCTCTGTGTTTTTCCCATTCGATGGTAGTGCTTTCCGACCAACCAGCTATAGCCATTGAGACCGCTACGTACGGTACCGTACCGTACGGTACCAGAAAGGAATCCGTCTCACCAGGGAGTTAATGTACTATTTATTAAATACATGCAGTGTACTCGTACGAGTACAGAGTGACCCTCATTTGTGCCAGTCTCAACCATCGGGTCACAAAAAACTTTTAACACCATCTTGTTCAGTCTGGGTCTTCAACAGGAAAAGGAAAGTTTCTGCGCAAAGTGTTCTGCTTCTGCTTTCAAAGAGCACCCAAAAAGAGCCAGCAATAGCAACAAGGGAGCACAAGCTTCGAAGCAATGCATTGATCCGGCCCAAGCATTCTCAACCAAACCATCCACGAGATGCAGTAGATCCTAGTCGATCCTCGGCTTGTGTTGATGTTACGGTTCTGACACACAAATTGCAATCATCAGAGCAAAAGATACCAACAAGAACCTCTCCCAAGAATACAAAGAAAGACGATGCAGACGCTCGACGCCAAAACGAAGAAACTGTTGGGGCAAGTCCGCATCGACAAGGAGGTGCAGCAGCTTGGGTGCCTTTTGATGGTAACAGGTTTCCCAGAAATCGTTCAGCCCCTGACTTGGATCGCTGGTTTGATCAACGGAGGCAAAGATGAGTTTGGCGACCCGATCACCGTCACCACTGGTCTCCCCTTCTCGACTTTGTTTGGGTACCTTTGTTGCGTCTTGATTGGAGTTCTCGCCCTCTTTGTTGGCTATGCGGCAGCCTTCCACAATGCTGGCAACAAGCGCATTACATTGGCGGTGTCTATCTTTGTCCAAACGGCGTACATTCTCACTGTCAGCACATGTATGAATGTCACCCGAGTTGCCTCAAAGGGAAGCAACTTTGACGTACCCTTGGGGTCCATCTCGGACCAAGACGATCTACCAGAACCCAATGCTAAACTACTTGCCTCCATGGGAGTAATTGCCATCATTGCCTATTGGTTTGGAATGTTGGGTTCCATCTCGCTATTGTTGGGCTCGTTGCAGAAATTCCAAGAGGGCAAACCAGAAGAACGCCCTGCAAGCTATTACCAGGGTCGGCTCTTGTTTTACAGCTTTGTCTTGTTCCTGGGCGGAATGGCGCAGCTGGTGGTAGGAGCTCATCTTGAATGGATTTACAAGCTTGGAGGCGGTCCACTGCCCAACGGTGCTTTTGTCAAAGTTGCAATGCTGCTCATTCGATACCCATCCTTGGCCATGACAGTGGGAGCGGTCCAAATCTTCAACGCCATTTGGGGAATGCTGAGGTACTTTGGCATTATGAAACCAAAGGACGGCGGCGCCTTTGTCTGCTCCGTTTGGTTTGGTTGGTTTGTGCAACTGGTCTTGCAAATCATGGTCCAGCCCTCCATTTTGCCGGGTGCAACTGCTGCGAGAGCTCCTCCAACGCTCACCGCATTTGCTTTTGGAATGAATTTCATGCCTGCCTTTCTCGACTCCAAGGCCGGTAGTCTTCCAAACGAAACGGAAATCCGCGACTATTACGGCTTGGATCCGACCAAAGGTGACACGGAAAATGATACCGGTAGCTTTGTTGACGAAGAGCAGGCAAATGCTTCGCAGCGCTTTCAAAATGTACAAGATTGTTGAATGCATGCTGGAAACTGAATGTTAATAATAGATAAGCCAGCGGCGCTGTGTAACCTCGGCAGAAAGGTTTCAGTGTAGAAGCAGATACCCCTATTAGCTAGCTAGCTAGAAGCAGATACCTCTAGTGCTTAGCTAGTGCTTAAGGAGGTACCACCAGGTCTGCAC